AAGTCCCTTATCAAATGGCATAATCAAAATCTCAAACACATCAATCGAATGAAAACCCACTGTCATATTCCTGACTTGGTACAGGCATTTCCTTATGTAGAAAATGGTGGATTAAACCTGGATTTATAGCTAGCGAAACCTCTCACTTGTATGGCAGTAGCATAAAAATCCATTATATTGACAACAATGTGTGAAAAAAAAACATGTATAATAGGCAAAAATGTCAAAAATAGGGGTACAGCATGCAGTCAACATTGTGTTATAATCCTAATCACTACAAAACAAACAAGTATCTCAACAAAGAAAAACAAAAAGGGATATAGACAAAGCATATAAGCAAAAAATGAAAGACAGGAATACAAAAAATGACCATAGCACAATGACACAATGGCGGGATGTATAAGTACCGAGCCACGCCAAAAGGATATTACCAAAAATGGACTAAACAGTCAAGGTTAATAATTTACAAAGACAAATAAAAGAGCACTATAACACGTAATCAAGATGATAAACAACGTCAGGACCTAGAATCTATACTTCAAGACCATCAAGCTACTTCATTTTCCCCTATTTTTCTAAGTTACTAATTTTGTTGGTGTAATATGTTAAATTACCATATGGTTATTAGTATTTGGTCCTAACCACAGTTTCTTCGATGTCCTGACTTTCATAAATTAGAGTCTCGTCATATTCCTTTGCTAATTCAGAGATGGTTGGAGATTGTATTACCTAATTGTCTTCTGAAAATGTATTATTGGAGTTAGATGCTTATTGTAGATCTTTATCACTAGGATGTATATTCCTTGACAAGGAACTATTTATTGAAGTGTTTTCATCTTGATTTTGAGATACTAATTGAACATCTAGTGATGGAAATCGTATATAGTCATCTGGAAGACCCTCCATTTATTCTTTACAAAATAAACTCATCATAGATACCAGGCTTAAAATAGTGTACGCCAGACGCGCGTTTCGTCTACAAATCAGCGACATAAAAAAAAATTAAAAATGCCAAATTAAGAACGAAGTTGAAGAGCATTGAGGAACCAAAATTCCGAAAGGTTTTGCGAAATACAATTAAGGTAATCTATGCCTGGGGTAGAAAACTCTTAGTATTTCGAAAAATTCAAAGTTTTGTAAACAGTTAGTTTATAATTATAACCGTATTAATGATAATATTCATGTCAATACAGAAGTCTTAATATATAAGACCCCTTTCTGAAATTTAGAATTGGTTTGATTGCGGAATCTACATAAAATGATCGCTTTAATATGTAGACCATAGTCTATATCAGGATTTGGGAAATTCTTCTATATGGACAAGACCTACTAGGTATGCACTCCTGATACTCTCATTTAATTCTTTAAATAGCGGATTTTCATCCATAAATTCAGCAGATAAGATATTTCCACCCTCACAAATTCTAAGTTTAACATAAATCCATTTACAAGGCTGCGAGCTGTTGTACAGATTGATTTGATACTATTGTCCGTGTTGGTAATCTAATTAGCTGATGATCCGTGCCACTATTGGAGCAGGATCTGCTTACCGTTCTAGAGCACCTGAAATCATATTACGTTTTTGGTGGGGTTTCGTGTTGCTCAGTCTTTAGTTTTCTGTGTAGTGTTTTGTGGGTCGTCTTTTCGTCTTTTGCTTTTTTTCACGACGTTGTCAGTGTCTCTTAGACTAATGAGTGCCTCTTTTTTTAATGTAACATTTTTTGTAATCGAATATGCTTTCGGGCATAGAGGCTCAATCATATATCTAAAAAAGTTCAGCCTTAAAAAACGTTATATATCAAATCATCACATTTAAGAATTAACTTACCTCGTTTTAGAGTTTTAACTACCGAGAATTCTTTCGCGTATCATCAATTGTTTTTTCTTTTCGAGCCTTCTTTTTGTTCAATGAAAAATAACAATATTGCTTACCTAAGTTAGAAGGAGTGTCAAAATCTAACTGCTGAGAATTCCAATAAAGGGGCCATTAAGATGTGCAAATGAAATACAGGTCCGTGGGCTAAAAGTCTGTGCACGACAAATGAGAATCAATGTGATGCTGTAATAAAGTACTGTGAGTAACACAGCTAAAATGTGATAAAACACAGGCTTTAAAACACTACAAAACTCTAAGAACAAGTCCACTGTAAAATATGAGCTGCTGTACAATATGGTTTGAGAACGAAAACTAACAACTGAGCTGTTTGATGATAGTCTCATGAGGATAGTTTTATAGTATTTAGGAATGTCTTTTAATGTAAGGTCTTTCCTATACTAAATTGAACAACCACTAGAATTATAATGACAGAGACGGTACGTACCAACTGGGCAATAACAAATCATACATGTCCAATAAAAACAGACAACAACATAGCCAAAATTAAAACAACAAAAAGATAAACAGCAATAACAAAACACTACACAAAAATTATAGCTTGTGCAACACGAACACCACCTAAACCGCGGGTGAATTAAAAGTTCCTACTCTAGTGGCACGCGTCGTTTTACTCATTATAAGTTAAACGTTGGTAACGTCATAATTGAGAAAATGGGAATGCAAGTGGAACATATCCGTGGTCATATGATATAGATATTCCACAAGTCAACTAAATCATGATGGCGTTCTTATACCTTTCAAAGGGATGACTAGAACTTTATGCTTACAATATTTAGCCTGTTCATATTGTGTATTTTAACAACCAGAATAAGAGATTCGACTTCACAAGCTTTTAAATTATCTTTTAAGTATTATATGTGCATACTGCAACCTGAAGCTGGCACAGACCAACTTGTATGTAATCTAACACATGATCAATTCGTTCTTGTTCAGATGTTCTAATTTTGTTAACACAGATTTGTTCCAATGTAAAGCCTTAAAAAAGTTTCTTCAGTCATTTTCCTCAGTGTGTGTGAAACTTTAGCAACAGTTGTTTCGAGATTTTTTATTTTCCTTTCATTCTTTCTTGTGTGGTGTAATATAGCAGTCTTACTGTTCTTAGTCTTGAAATAACAGAGAATTTTACACGAGGTGAAATCTTTTATTTTGAGCAGCTGAATTTATGATTGCTCTTCCAGCTACTGTTTTTCTGAGTTTTATTTTTTTGGGGCTTATTTGTATCTTTCAATAAACTGTCAAATATACCAGGCTTATTATTGTGTAGGCAAGAAAATGAAAATGACACTTGAAAGAGAGGCCAATGATACCAAAGGGACATTCAAAAATAAACTGACAACACCATGGCTAAAAAAAAACAAAAATAGACAATGAACAGTACACACAACACAACATAGAAAACTGAGCAACAAGAACCCCACCAAAAACTAGGGGTGATCTCAGGTGCCCCGGAAGGGTAAGCAGATCCTGCTCCACATGTGGCACCAATCTTATTGCTCATAATAGTAATAAATTGCTTCGCCGAGCGCAGGTGGATACGACAGCAAAGGTTCAACCCTGAACAGTTGGGGCAAAAATGGACAAAATATTCGCACTTGATACAGGTCTGAATTTGGATTGTAGTTACAATTGGAACATATCCGTTGTCATCTGTGAAATAGATTTTCTATAACCACGTTTAAAGGCAAAATCAATAACGAAGTTCATGATCATTCAGAACAGAAAATTCAAAAACACTTATTCAGATATCCTCTGTACAGTTTCAACATTTAATTTCTCATTTTATGACTTGTTTCACCTGTTAATGTTGTGGTCGCACTATCATGAAATAGGCACACTTGTACTTCACAGTAATTTTCAGGATTAAGGTTCAATTTACAAACTAATACTTTTAACATTTATGTTTGTAAAACATTCATTAAAGGGAATTCATGTTCAATCCTAGTTATGTAATGTTTGTTTTTGTACATTCAAAACCTTTTTATTGCTCAATTAAACAATATTTTCACATGGCAAGTCTATCTTCTTGTTCATTGAATATTTGTATAATTTAAATCTTATTTTAAAGTAAGTTGAGACTGCTTTAAGAGACATTGTGCATTCTTTTATTTGGTACTGTATAGCATTATTTTTATTTTGGTATGGTTTTGAGTTCTTTATACTGATATATACATAAATAGTCCTAACTGGTTTGAATTGAACTTCAATTTTCTTCCACTGTAAGACATATTTAAACAAAAAAATGACTCTAATAAAAGAAGTTAATGTGCCTTCCCAAAATGAAGCATATTTTGGTGCTTTCTTATGTTTTTTTCTTAAGAATTTGGTGTTGGTGTAAAATTTTTGTCATTTCTACTGAATGTATCTTTTATCTATAAATGCTGTATACTATGGATTCATTTATTTTCGTGGGTACCAATTTTCATGGATTGAGGAAAACTTGCATTTTCATGGATATTTGATTTCATGGTTTGGCCAAAGTCTGCATACATTCTGATAGAAAATCTGTAGTTCGTTGTACACTGGAATTCGTGGTTCCCCGGGTAATTTAGTAGTATGTAATCCAAAAATTATGCAAGGTTCCCCTGACAGACCTAATCAGACTATAAATAGGGTGGTGGCCTTTTACCAAACAATACGACTGTAAAAATAAAATAAAGAGATTGGTAAATAATTATGTACTTGTTTTTATCAACAAATTTATAACTTTTACCTATCTTTTGATACTCCACATCAGCTAAAGTTATAAAATGTCAATAACAAGTCATCAATAACTTAATAAATTAGAAGAAAAAAGAACATGAATTATGAACCCTCCATAAATCCACTATTAAAACTTCAAATGATCAATTCACTGTCAAAAGATGGCTTAGCTGAATGTTAATATGATCATATAATTTTCCACTTAAAGAAAAATAGTCACTATTTGCTCTGTGTTGAAGGCCTCACTGTGACAATTTATGAATAAGAACAGCAATAAAAGCACTGTTCCTTTGCTTTTTGTGTGTATTTTGCTGTGCATGTACTGATTTTGTGTCATGGATGGATACCCCATATCCTTTGTTTTTCTACTATACCTTAATTGCTATCAAATAAATAGGCAGGATGAGAGCATTTGTTTAAATTTATTATTTTGACATAACTACATTAAAACGAATAAAAACAATATTACAAGCACTTTTTTGGCATTGATTATAAGATACATTATTACATATTGGCAATTGTACACATAGTAAGTACATGTAAATATCTTGTAAAACTATGATAAAAAACAAGATGTACTGTGACCTATTCCTTACTAATGATGCCTCCGCTATAAGTATTCAGTAAACAGGAAATTGGTCAGTAATGCAAATGAAAACAAACAGTATGGCATAAGAAGATGAAGCTTGGTGTCATATGTCAAGAAGCTATGACTTAAAGTTGCTGAGTGTTGTCGGTCATGTGTAATGGACAGACAAATGTACTGTAAACCAACGGTTATCCCTGCCTTTGGATTGAGGATATCAAAAATTACATAGTACTTGATTCTTTGTTGTATTTTACTGACGTACTGTTCTATCCCAAAAATGTAATGACTGATTTGATTTTAAATTATACAGAATAGTTCAAAACTTGATAAATATTTTTTCTGGCACTTTTTTGTATGATGCAAAGTGATACTGAATATCAAAACCCCAATATGTTTGACCAACAATGAAAAAAAATCCTATGTAAAATATTTGAAAAATAGTTTTAAAGATTTTGAAATATGTCAAAGCTAGTAATTTTTTATGCATTAAAGTTACTATATTTCATTGCTGTGGAATATCTTTTCAGTATGATTTAAGATTTTTCAGGAAATTTAGTCTTTGCAAGAAAATGCATTCTTTAATGTTTGGTCAAATGAATAAAAATAATTAAATATACAGCAGAATTTTTGAGTATAACAAGATCTAGGTTTTCAAAATTAATTGGTGTTATAATTCATAATGTAAGTAGATATTTTGTTCACTGACAGTTATAATAGTCATATAACCATTGTTGTAATTTCCTTCAAGCCAAAAAAAAATTATAAAAGGTTTATAGATGTAATGTTAAATGCACGTTTGTGTTTGTATATGTTCTCCAGGAAAATAAGTGACATTAAGTATGGAACTTTAAAACTCTGTAACATATCATAAGACTGCATGTACATTATAAAAATAATGCTTTAATAAAATAACAATGTAGTTTCACAAAAATTTCCAGTTTTGCAAATAACCCAAGGTTTTAGTATATATAATATGACAGTCATGAGGTCAATGCACTGGTTATATTAAAAACATGCATCTAATTATCAACTGATGTAAATTCATAAATAAAATAAGATACATGTAACTGATAATCAACTGCTACTATTTCATAAAAAAGTCAAAAAATTTTCACATTCTGATAAAAGAATCCTTTAACTCAATAGATCATTATATAATTTAATTACTTATAATATGTAAACTATGTTAAAACTTGCAAATTGACAAATAATGTGACTCATTCAACACTAAAATGAGTTACGTAAATGTGGTCCTATTAATCATTGAACAGTAGGAATTCAGGTTAAAACCAGAAAATTATCTCCATTCTAGTTTGATTTATAAATATTAAGAACATTCTCAGCAATGTGCTATTAATCGAAAGTTCATACAAAATTTGAACAAAATCTGGTTAAAAGCAAAGGTCAATAGTCTAAAACAAAAACATCTTGGTCTAATGTATCATCTAATTCTTCTAAACATAAGCATGGGGTAGAATAGTAAGATATAGTTTAGTGTTAAATAAATTCATAAAATAGCTATGCACACAAATTCTGTAAGTTCAATATTTCATCTACTTTTTGACTGGCTGAAAATGTTGTGAAAACTATTTTTTTTGATTCTCTATAAAGAGAAGTTCATGGAAAATAACAACATAATCTGACAAGAGAAGTGCAGCAAAGTTAAAAACTTTTGATATTAAGGAACTATGGACAATTCATTAAAATCAATTAAATCTAAACATTTGATCAAATGCCTGGTTACCAAAGTAAACAACCTTTTTTTAACTTTATCTTAAAAAAATGTACTTTTCTATTGGCCCCCACAAAGTCACCAGTTATGTGAATGCACATGATGAACAGTAGATATATCAAAGTATTTCAATATTCATGAATAATTAGAATATGTAATTTATGAACAAAATTATTTGACATATTTAAGACAACTAAACACATTTATAAATAATTATGAAATTGAAATAAAAAAATATACTCTATGCTGACTCTCATACTTGCTTGACAAATATTTAATATCCACAAGTTATCCATGAATAAGCATAGAAAAAATATTTTACAATTTGATCACAGTAAAATGAATTAAAATGCTTTAAAAGATATATATTAAAACAGTAGATTTTCTTTAAATACTACATAATTTCTCTTTGTGCATCTTGTATCATTTCATGAGTTAAATAACATGTCCCATAAATTTATTAAAATTCAACTTTAATAGCTATAAAAGTCCAAATTCAAAATGTACACAATTTTATTACAAACAATGTCTGGAAATTCAATCACAGACCTAAACATACAAAGAAACACACCATTTCTTCTTCCTATTTTTTTTGTATTTTGATAAAAAAAACACATATTAACAAATACTTTTAATAACACAGTCTTATATATTTACAATTTCTTGGTCTTTTAATCCTGTCTCCTTCAAACAGTTGTAAAATCTGTGTAACATTCCTTTTTTCATTTATTGCTCCAATAACTGACAGAAGAAGGACTTACACCTGGCATGAATTGAACCAATTCTTGACTGCCTAAATTAAAACAATTGACAAAAGTTGGTCCATTAAACATTTAAAAAAAATATAAATTCAAAGATGGTCAATAAGGTCAAGTGTTTCATTCTGAGGTAACATTTCCTTCCCATATATCATCTTTCTGTTTACGTTCCTTCTTCTTCTTATCTGTAAAATAATAAAACTATATGTAAATAATTTGTCATTTGGTTGACTAAATTGATTGATGTGGGATATGTGGCAAACATTCAATGCACAGTAAGAGGGACAACATTTTACTGCAATATGAATATACCCTTTTTAGTTCTTGACTTAAACATTGCATTGGATTTTAAATATGCTAGCTGACAAGGTAAGTTGGCTGACATATCTCCCTACCATGACATATTATTCTGACTCCAAACTGATAAGTTTTTGTTCCACCTCCTAAATCTACATGCTTGACCCAGATTGGGTTTGACCTCATTACCTATGGCAATGGGAGGTAAAATGTTGATTTCATTGTAAAATCATTGGGTTGACTGACAGCATCCAGCTGGAGAAACCCATCACTTCTGATGTCTTGTGTATTGTCGTCTGCTGCATCACACTTTGTTCATCTACAACTCCTTGAAATAGCTTGACAGAACTCAACCAAACTTTATCAGATTATTCTGTCGACAGGACATGATTGATTGATTGATTGGTGTTTAATGCCACTGTCAACACCATTGTGCTATTTCGTGGAGGTCAGTTTATATTGGTGGAGGAAGCAGAGTGCGACAGGACATGAAGTTATAAGCACCTGGTATCTTAGTTTTTAATCAGTGTGATTTTTAGGGTTCAGATACCAAAACAAGGACTAAGCTATTTCTGCTTATATCAGTTTATTCATCCACAACTCCTTGAAACAGCTTGAAAGAATTCAACAAAACAAGGACAAAATGGGGGATTTTTGAAGTTTCCCATACCATAACATGGACTTAAATCCTTGACCACTGGAAAATGAGTGTATGTTCAAAAGGGACGAAAATTTTGCTACGCAACCTGCCAACTAAGAACTTCTCAAAGATTTATTACAAGGGTTCTTGAGAATGTGAGAATGTGGCACTATCCTTACAAAAGGCATCAGATTTAATGTCCAAATTCCAACCAGACTTGGATACATAGTAATGCAACCTGAACAGCTAAAAAGATGCCTCTCTTTAGCTTGGGTTTTACAGCCAGATGGGAGAAGTCCATGGATGACAAATTTCTATACAGTATAGTTTAAAGTTGTTGTATAGAATGATAAGACACCCCAATATAGCTAAATAGAATACTAGATGATTTGATATCCTAGACATATATACATCTCACTGTACCTGAACTATAATTAAGCCTTGAAAAAAAGCAAAAGAGCATGTGAAAAGAATTTTTTTGGATAAGGCATAGGAAACCTCCCAAGTTAAAGAGTTATTTATATTTGTCACAGTAAAATAAAAATCTGGTATTAAAAATGATAGCTGTGCAAACGCCCTTTTTATGGGTCTGTGCCCCTCAGCCCTAAGTTTCTAGATAGAACACTATAGACCATTGGGGTCTATTACATACTTCAAACAATAAGTCTCTTATTTTTCAATCCAAATAACATATGTGTAATTCTTTTCTCAAGTATTCTGAAACAAAATGATTTTTAAGGGACACACCTAAGCATTATCAATATATTGCATATCAAACTGATAATTTTTCTAAAATTCAACAATGAGAGAAAACTCATACCGCATAGGCAGCTATAAAGGAATAAACAGCTGCACCATAAGCACATGATACGCCCGTCGTCTTGTGTGTGAATTTTTATGCAATAAGCATTAATAGTTTCTGACATACAGCGTGACATGCGAAAACCCCCCTTTTTTTTACAAAAAACTCAATATCTCTAAAATAAAATTTTGAATCAAAACCAAAAAGTATACAGATCTTTAGATTAATATAACTAAGAAGTGTGTAAAATTTTAAGCAATAATCATAAATCATTTTTGAGATACGGCGCGACATGTGAAAAACCCCTCCCCCTTTTTTAACAAAATACTCAATATCTCTAAAATAAAATTTTGAATCATCACCAAAAAGTATACAGATCTTAAGATTAATATAACTAAGAAGTGTGTAAAGTTTTAAGCAATAATCATAAATTGTTTTTGAGCTACGGCGCAACATGTGAAAAAAAACACACTCCTGTTTTAGTTACTAAGTCCCGTAACTCACAAAGTTTTAATCTTATTTTCACCAAAAGTATACAGATCGTTTGACCATCATAAGAAACAACTATGTTAAGTTTCATGAAATTTGAATAAGTCATTCTCAAGTTACGGTGCGACATGTTTACGCCGGACAGACAGACGGACGGACGCCGGACATTTGTATACCATAATACGTCCCGTCAAAAATTTGACGGGCGTATAAAAAAGTGAAACCATTCAAAGGAGAACATGAAAGAGCTAATTTATAACAATACAATTTATGAAAAACAAATATGAAACAAGGACAACTGAATAACGGCTCCTGACTTGGGGACAGGCACACATAAGGAATGTGGCGGGGTTTAACATCTTTTTAGAGTTCAACATCTCCCTGACCTGGGATAGTGGTGTAACAGAACAACATAAGAACAAACTGTAAAAATCAGTTGCAAATGGCTTTACTAAATAGATCGTTACGAAGCTCAACAAAAATTAACATAATAAACTGTTGACACAGAGATATGTCTGGCCTGTTGGCAGAAAATACAGAAAAAGACCAACTGATGGACAGCAATATTGCTAATTAACTCAAAGTTGCTGGACCATGACATAGAGGCCAGCATGTCAAAATGATCCTCAAATGAGATGTATTGATAGTTATGCAACTTTATAGAAAATATCATTGATCTATCACAAGTAGTTCCTATCAAACTAACTTAAGCAGAATACTTAACATTGAAAATTGCTTATAAATTGAAATTCGCGGGACCATGACCTAGGGGGCAGGGCCTAGAAAAAGTCACCAAACTAACTTTAGCAGAAAACAATTGTGGACGACATTGTAAAAGCAATACCTATGTCTCAACTTACAGGGCTTTTGTCACAGGCGAGACAAAAACAACAAACACAAAGCACTGGTATGTACTCACAGTTCATGCCATTTACAATTAATAAATAAATTATGTCAATCATTGTTTATATGATGCTCAACTGATTACCATGATTGAATTTTGTTACTAAGTCTGAAGGGATTAAAATCGGGATAAGACAAAAAGTGTCCGACTAGCTCAAATATTTTTGGAAGCCCTGAAATCTAGATGTCTTTGGTGTTTATGTTTGGTTGCTGTCTCATTGACACATTACTCACATATATTATTCCTACTAATCAGAATCTCAACATAAGCTATTAATGATGCAATCCATGACGGAGAAGAAAAACCTATGTCTTGTCTCTTCATCATTAATCTGATGTAGACTTAATACCTTTAGCTTGTTTTAATTTTCTTTTCTCTTCCGTCTCCTTATCTCTCTGTTCTTTAGATACTTTAGTCTTTAAGCCAAGTGCTCCAGTTAACATTCTCCTGGCTACTACAGCTGTAGTCTCTGGTCTCTCCTTGTAGGGTTGCAAAAATTCTGTAAAAAATGTGTTTTAATTAAGGACAAACAAGGAAACACAAGTATTACAAATCTGATCATACGGTTTAAATTATAAGAGAACTAAATATATATGACTAAAATAAATGTAGTGTCAGTAATAAATATTCACTGATGGAAAAGATCTTCAGGATATAACTAAAGTCTCCTTTTATTAACAATGTCTGCTGGTGAATACAATGTCAAGAATATACTTATTACATGAGTATTAGTAAATATTGTCTCAGGTAGATGTCTATATTGCACCTGCTTTCTAGTGCAATAAATCTTATAAGATGTACAAAATGTATAACATTCACCAATTCATTAAATAACCCTTTTATTGAAAGTAAAGCTTGAAAAATTGTTTAAAACATATATTTGTCACTGATGACATCACTAATTTGAAGCTTTACTTGCACAAGTGCCATATGATATATCATTATATACTTTATAGTAACAAATACAAGTAAATTGTATGTGTAATACAATTAATAGCAATGGTGCTAATATGATATTCTCTATCTATTGAATAGCCACATAATATGATATTCTCTATCTATTGAATAGCCACATAATATTTCCCACAGCTAAATGGTTTTCACATCATTCCTTTTCTTTAATTGCTGGCCTCAGATAATAAATGGAAAGATTTTCACAAAGTGTGGTTTCATGCATTACATACCAACAGCTGTCTAAGCTTTAAGTTTAGACTTTTGGCACAAAGTGTGGTTTCATGCATTACATACCAACAGCTCTCTTAGCTTTAAGTCTAGACTCTTGGCACAGTGTGGTTTCATGCATTACATACCAACAGCTGTCTAAGCTTTAAGTTTAGACTCTTGGCACAAAGTGTGGTTTCATGCATTACATACCAACAGCTCTCTTAGCTTTAAGTCTAGACTCTTGGCACAAAGTGTGGTTTCATGCATTACATACCAACAGCTGTCTAAGCTTTAAGTTTAGACTCTTGGCACAAAGTGTGGTTTCATGCATTACATACCAACAGCTCTCTTAGCTTTAAGTCTAGACTCTTGGCACAAAGTGTGGTTTCATGCATTACATACCAACAGCTGTCTAAGCTTTAAGTTTAGACTCTTGGCACAAAGTGTGGTTTCATGCATTACATACCAACAGCTGTCTAAGCTTTAAGTTTAGACTCTTGGCACAAAGTGTGGTTTCATGCAGTACATACCAACAGCTTCCTTAGCTTTAAGTTAAGATTCTATATACAAAGTGTGGTTTCATGCATTACATACTGACAGCTGTCTAAGCTTTAAGTTTAGACTCTTGGCACAAAGTGTGGTTTCATGCAGTACATACCAACAGCTCCCTTAGCTTAAAGTTAAGATTCTATACACAAAGTGTGATTTCATGCATTACATACCAACAGCTCTCTTTGCTTTAACTTTAGATTCTCTGCAGGCTTGAGATAAAGGTCCCACTTTTAGTAAAGGATGTGTAAACTGTAATGCTTCATTTGCTGTAAAATCGGAAAACAAATCCATAACAAATACATTTCCTTTCTTTAGCTTAAGCTATATTTTCATACTTTTGAATTCTTAAACGTGCGCTCCTTGTCTTAATATATATATTTCATAAAAGTTTGCACAATTTATTATGTATAATAATGCCTGATCAATTTAAGATTTTTTTACACAAAAACATATGTCTGGATTTTCTCCCTAAGGTCTTGTTCAAACAAAATTTTGAACTCTAGATGTCTTTAAGTTTAAGTGTTTCTTGGTTGGTGTCTCATGGGCATATACCGGAATTTCTCTTTATTCATAGATAAATTGAAGAAAAGTGCATTCTTGTTTTTGGTTATGAAAAGAAATAAAACTGCAGAATTATCCCATTTAAGTCATCATGAAATGCATCAATATTTCAGATAAAATAGTTTTTGTTTACCTGCTATAACACTGGAAAACACTCCTAAAGCATGAGTATCATCTACCCATTTAATATCAAATCCTTTTGATCTGAAAAAGATAAAACAGACAGATGAATAAACAACTTTTCATGAATGGATAAAAGAATTCTATTTATACATTTGCAGCTATAAAAGTATTTTGGAAATGATATATCCCATTTAAGTTACAATTTACATAAAACTACTTTTCATGAATGGATAAAAGAATTCTATTTATACATTTGCAGTTATAAAGGTATTTTGGAAATAATATATCCCATTTAAGTTACAATTTACATAAAGCCAAACAATAAAGGATTCATTTCATCAATAATATCCAGGGTTTGAACTTTACTTAGTTTTCAAGGAGCCATGTGGGTACCTAGTAAAATATATCTTAGGGTCCACAGTAAATCTTAATAGTCCACAAAATTTATGGAAATTATGATTCTCCATACAAATATTAGGACACCTAAGTTTCCTTTTCAAAACAGTCTATAGAACTGAGGACTCTTGAACTATTTACTTTGATAACGTGATCTTGTTGATATGGTCTGTTTTCATTTTGTTATGTTGTATCACATGCAATGAAATGTAGTGTAATGACAATAAAGATTTGAATTGAATTGAATTATATAAGAGATATTTAAATTTTACAAATTTAAGCAACTTAAATCAATAAATTGAAACAATGCATTTGCATTGAAATATATACATTTAATTAAGGGGATCCAACCAAATGTCTCTTTATGGGTGTGGAATGTGTATTTTTCACTTTTGTAATCATTATTCTTCTGTCAGCTGTGTCATTAGTGCATCTGTAGTTATTATCATTAGAAAAAGATTTCATTCACAGTTGCTACGTATCAGATATGTGATTTGTATTTATTTCAATGGCGAACGAAGGAAAATTTACAAAAAGAAACTATGTTTGACAAGTGATTCGGAAAGGAATGTTAAGATAAATCTGAAAAGAATATAACCTCAGTGGTCATGTATCAGACCAAAACATTTCTACATCGAAGTTTGAAACCATAACATGCCTGCAAAACAGAACAGCCATAAGAGTTTGACACACACGAGTAAATGAAATAAAGTTGTGAAAACAAAGCCTGTGATCAGGTGATCCTGGCTCTAGACGGGTACCTGGTCCTTATTTGTATATTACGAAAGGCATACTGAATATTTTATGGAGGGAACCAACCTTTCCTGGCGTTACCTCAGCTTTGCGTCAGTCGAAAAGTGAGCTAGGATCCCAGGCTTTGAAAAAACATTACCGTTTTTAAGCTTGTTTTCAGCTGATTATTGTTCATTTGAGCAGATCCCAGTTATGTAAACATATGAGTTTTGATGAACTACACTCAATATCATGCGATTTTTATAATAATAGTTTTCAAGTGCACTCACCATTTGGGCTAACGAGATTACATATTTATGAGGCCACATCAAAAAGCACTAGCAAATGGCGAATGGACGACCGCTAATTTCAAACCCCGATATCATTTAAAGATCAGACAAACTAGAATAAAGAGGAAATAGACTAATATAATGTTTAGTTCTTAGACTGTCTTTACAGTAGGAAAAAATATTTGTTTAACAATGTTAAATTTTATTCCATTAAGTTATATTTTTTGCTCAAGACACATAAGCTTTACTCTTTTGAAAACACAACTTACTTGAACATGCTAAAAGCTGAGAGGAGATCTTCGGTTTTCATTTCCGATGAGAAGTCATATATCTCTATCACATGATTCATACCTGAAATATAACCAAGAAAAACATGCCTTACATGGATACAAAATGTACTAAGATGGAGGACAACAAACAATTGATAATTTGTCAATCAAAACTGAATGTAAACTTTACAGCAATTACCTATTTTACAATTATAAATAAACTATATTAATTCAATGTTTTTTAATCATTACATATGAGGAAAGTCTTCTGAAAACTAATTACTCTCTATACGATTTAAAAATAACAGAACAATAGTTATAGTGACAAGGAATATACAAACAAGATTCAACAAAGGGAGACAATATCTCCAATTTTTAAAGTGAACTACTTGGGTGTGTACTTTGTACATAAAACTTAAGTTTACGTGTTTTAAGGTGAACCTGCATTTCTTTATTATCTATTGTAAATATATAGACACTGGTTAAACAGGTTTTTCAGTCATATTATTGTTACCCATCCAATGGTTTGATTGGCTAGTAAAAACTATTGTTACTCTTTCAATAGTTAGTACACAAAGAAAATTCTAATTGTATGGTCCTCTTAGCAAACAAACAAACAAACTTATTGTTCTTTCAATGAATGTGATAAACCAAATTATTCACATAATTTTGCTCATCTTTTAATATGGAATATTATTAAAATAAATACTGTAAGATTACAAATTTCTCCTTTTTTCTATCAGAGGATGATAATTCAAAACCATTTCAATAGTAAAGACAAATATTAACATTGGCTTTACCTTCATAATCTAATTCTGGTTCCTTTGGTTGATAATTGAGGTAGTTTATGACAGGCTTCTTTACTTTCACTTTACCAACATTACTACTTAACTGAAAATAAACAACAGGTCTTTGGAAGTATGTACAGGTGAAAGACATGATAAACTAACGGTGATCCTGTATTGTTGAACAGAAATGTATGCTGTATTTGTTCTCATTTCTACTAAAATTTAATAAATGGATGGAGAGTGTACTTTCTTCAAAGCTGATCTCTGTAGATAGGATGCCAGCTGTTGGGAGAGTAAGACTTGGTTTCTCATACTGTCTTGTATAGTAAATATCCACCAACCTTATCATCACACTAAGAACTGATTGTGTTCAAAATTAGTTGTTCTTGGAGTAATTTTAGAAATCATGTAAATGCTATGATTGGTGGACATCCCTTTCAAATCTGACTTGATTCTTTTTCTTCAACAGATTTTTACTTGTCATTTTAAACACAACATGTCCAACTGGTTGAGAAAGTACCCTTCAAGAACTACACTGTTTTTATTGGTTTTGTTTGCTCAATCTTATCGATTTTTTGTTTTGTATTTTGTGAGTTGTTTGTTTTCCCTCTTGACCATGGTTATTTCTGTCTTCTTCAACTTTGATTATTGATTGCCCCCTTGGTATCTTTTTTCCCTCTTTTAAATTTGAGTAAAATGAGATGTGAAGTACAAGTCAATGAGTCAGCAACCCAATGACACAATTAACCAAAAGACAAGGTCATATGTAAAAATTATCTGACATGTATGTCTTAGTATTTCTTTTGATAGATTTAAAGGTTCTAAATTAAAAAAAAAATCATCATCATTAAACATTAATTCATTCACTGGAAAACACCCCATGAAAGAAGCAAATTGAAAAATTGTACATAATTTTTCTCCTTGCTTCACATGAAATGAAGGGCTCATTAAATTGAAATACAACAAGTTGTATATTTTCTTTATGATGAAAAAAATAAAGCATACAAAGCACTAAATATTGTTAATTTGGTTTCATTTTATGTAAATTTGAATGCTGCTCAAATTCCTCACTGTTCCTACTGTACATAATGTATAGACATCTGTCTTTTTTTGTGGACAGTGTGTTGACATTAAGATTTATTTTAGCAATTTGTATTGTTGGACTGCTTGTCTTACTGCTGTACTCCTCATCTTCTTTTACTGTTATTTCTATTTCTATATGTTTTCTTAAAATAACCTCATATTATTTCTGTACATACATGTATATCACATCTTTTTTACTGTGTATTCTTTTTTTGTAAAGTAAATAATATGAAATTTGAATTTTAAGAACAGAACCCATTCCAAAGGAGTATGTATCAACATAAATATGCTCTAAAACCTTCAGATATGACATCTTTACAGTAAATCCATTGGATGTTGATGAATGTGTACTTATTGATATTTTAGTCTTAGATGCAAAAATTTTTTATTAGTTGTTATTGGCTTTGAACTGGCTGTCAGTAACTGCGAGTACTTTCAGATCTGTACTTAGTGTTTTTTTTGTTGTGGGGATGTATAAGTACCCTGCCATGTCCACTCTGTTTTTTTGATAGATGTGTTTCTATTTGTATCCATCTGATGAGTTAAGATTTTTCAACTGATTTTTATAGTTTGTTCTTGTGTCATACTGTTACACCACTGTCCCAGGTTAGGGGGAGGGTGGCACCTTCAAACGAGTTTAACCCTGTCACATTCTGTATGTGCCTGTCCTAAAGTCAGGAGCCTGTAATTCAGTGGTTGTCGTTTGTTGCTGTGTAACATATTTATTTTTTGTCCCTTATTTCATACATAAATTAGGCCGTTAGTTTTTTTTTAATTGTTTTACATTTGTCATTTTGGGGCCTTTTATAGCTGACTATGTGGTATGGGCTTTGCTCATTGTTGAAGGACGTACGGTGACCTATAGTTGTTAATTTCTGTGTCATTTGGTCTCTTGTGGAGAGTTGTCTCATTGGCAATCATACCACATCTTTTTATTTTTATATTAAAAGATTGAGCGTTGAGTAGTAGATGCCTACCTCTTCTAAAGTATTAGGATCTAGACTCTCCCCATCATCATCAAACATTGTATCCCATGACTCATCCTCTTCAGACTGAATTGGCTTTTTCTCTGATACAACTGTTTCTGAAAAGACAGATTCAACCTTAAACAAAAGTAATATTCTTTGTGTTATTGATTCAAATGAACTTTGGATTCGTTATTATTCTTTAGTTACCAATTTGTGTGGATGAAGTGGGTACAGGTGTACAACAAATTTATATGTTAAACGAATTACGCATTTTCTAAAGGCTTGTATGCAGACATTGAAAAAAATCGCGAAATCAAATATCCACAAAAATACATCATGGATTCATCAAAATTGGCACCCATGAAAATAAACGAATCCACAGTATACTTTAATTGTTTATCATAATAATGAGAAAAATGTCCATGGACTCTGACCTATATGTTAATCATTGGAATTTTATACAGTTATCCCTTCAATACATTAAAGACAGATTAATGTTTCCTTTTCTTATCTTTAATCATTGAAGTTATGAATAAACAAGTTCCTATCTACATGATCTACCAATAAAGCAAATTCTAATATAAATGCCCTATATAAATATCCCATACGTATTTACCTATTCTAAATGTTTTATATAAATATCCCATACTTATTTACCTATTCTAAATGTCCTATATAAATATCCCATACTTATTTACCTATTCTTAATGTCCTATATAAATATCCCATACTTATTTACCTATTCTAAATGTCCTATATAAATATCTCATACTTATTTACCTATTCTAAATGTCCTATATAAATATCCCATACTTATTTACCTATTCTTAATGTCCTATATAAATATCCCATACTTATTTACCTATTCTTAATGTCCTATATAAATATCCCATACTTATTTACCTATTCTTAATGTCCTATATAAATATCCCATACTTATTTACCTATTCTTAATGTCCTATATAAATATCCCATACTTATTTACCTATTCTTAATGTCCTATATAAATATCCCATACTTATTTACCTATTCTTCAGTGTTCCAGCTAGGTCGTTTTCACAGGGCGGTCCGCCCGCCCTTTCCCGAGTGCCGCCCTGTGCCCTTTTTCTGACGCCCTGTGCCCTTTTTAAGAAACGCTGCCCTTTTTCGTAAGTCCATGCCTTAATTGCCGTAATATTTTGATGAAAATACAATTATTCTACCTGTCTTCATAATAATGACAAGTTTATGACCCTCAGCTAATTAACATTTACAGCAGGTGTAATAAGTTGTGATTACAGATAATCCGCTTATCGTGATTACAGATAATCCGCTCTTCGACATCGGATGGGTCATTAATCCCTTAATTAAACTTCATAATTGACCATGGTAATAATCTTTCTCATTAAATTCGATCAGTCAGCATTTCAATTTCAATATTTCTCAAAAGATGACAATTTGCGTTTCGTTTATCCGTAGATCGTCTGTTGTTATAATGTCAAATATTTTTTTTTAAATTGATCTTTTAAACTAGTTTTAATCCAGAAGAAAGTAAAAACAATGTTTGACTGTACCTTTCATTGAATATCTATATCCAAATTAAATTAAAGAACCTTAGTGAGCACGCTCACATACCCCACGTCCCCACATTGTCACTGGAGAAATAAAATAACTGTAAGAAAAAAAAATTGTATAAGAAAAAAAAATTGAATCATAATTTCCTGTCGATATGCACATCTACATAGTATGTCCTTATTATCTACAAAGTTTCATGAAATTCTGTTGTGTGGTTTCAGAGGAGTTGCGATGACAAACTGTTGCAGAGGTATATTGAAGCAAATAAGTTCAAAGGGGCGTAACTCCTAGAATAAAAATTGAATCGTAATTTCCTGTCGATATGCACATCTACGTAGTATGTCCTTATTATCTGAAAAGGTTTCATGAAATTCTATTGTGTGGTTTGAGAGGAGTTGCGATGACAAAAGGTTGCAGTAGTATATTGGGCAAATAAGTTCAATGGGGCGTAACTCCTGGAAAAAAAATTGAATCGTAATTTCCTGTCGATAAGCACATCTACGTAGTATGTCCTTATTATCTACAAAGATTCATGAAATTTTGCTGTGTGGTTTCAGAGGAGTTGAGATGACAAACTGTTGCAGTAGTACATTAAAGTAAATAAGTTCAAAGGGGCGTAACTCCTAGAAAAAAAATTGAATCATAATTTCCTGTCGATATGCACATGTACGTAGTATGTCCTTATTATCTACAAAGTTTCATGAAATTCTGTTGTGTGGTTTCAGAGGATTTGCGATGACAAACTGTTGCAGAGGTATATTGAAGCAAATAAGTTCAAAGGGGCGTAACTCCTAGAAAAAAAATTGAATTGTAATTTCCTGTCGATATGCACATCTACGTAGTATGTCCTTATTATCTGAAAAGGTTTCATGAAATTCTATTGTGTGGTTTGAGAGGAGTTGCGATGACAAAAGGTTGCAGTAGTATATTGGGCAAATAAGTTCAAAGGGGCGTAACTCCTGGAAAAAAAAATTGAATCGTAATTTCCTGTCGAAATGCACATCTACGTAGTATGTCCTTATTATCTACAAAGTTTCATGAAATTTTGTTGTGTGGTTTCAGAGGAGTTGAGATGACAAACTGTTGCAGTAGTACATTAAAGTAAATAAGTTCAAAGGGGCGTAACTCCTAGAAAAAAAATTAAATCGTTATTTCCTGTCGATATGCACAACTACATAGTATGTCCTTATTATCTAAAAAGGTTTCATGAAATTCTGTTGTGTGGTTTGAGAGGAGTTGCGATGACAAGAAACAGGACTGACGGACAGACGGACGGGTCAAAAATATTATACCCTCTGCAACTCGTTGCGTGGGGTATAATTAATTGAAGCTGTAATCCATGATCACAAATTGAGCTTTGTTTACATTTGTTGAAAGCCATGTACTTTTTGGCGGGAAAACCCTTTAACAAGAAACAGTATACGTAACATTTCATTTTTATTTATAGACAGTAAGAATTTCATTTTGATTAACTGCTAAGATTATTTCATTAAAGATGAATACTTTCTTGGGGTGAAACTGATAATACTTTAATACTCTACATCTAGGGGAGTGTAAAATGGAAAGGGGGGGGGGGGGGCTTTTTTATATAATTTTTTTTTATATAATATTACAAATATAAGTTAACCAGTCTGAAAAGACATGGTTAAATGGATTTTAATTCTGAAAAACTCAATGTGGTTTATTAATTCCTTTATTATTTCTATCATAATCAGAAACAAGCTACATGTATTAGGCATTTCAAACATATTTAATTGCCTTTATAAGAACATTCAAGACTACACTGTATTAATAAGTATGTACCTGTAGTAAAAATACCCTGGTAAAATTTCTACTGGGCCCTTGGAAAAAAGTTTTGGGATCCAGGTTGGCCCCTGGAGAAAATGTTAGGTATTGTTCCTGACTGTTTTGCAGATTTATGTGTAGTTTAATAACTGACATATGCACAATTCATTTCACTAATGAAATAAACATAATTCTACAAAATGCTGCTGCGCTCTGCATTGCAACTTAACCTTAGACCCACCATGCATCAAAAATTTTCTAGGGATGACTGAGCTAGTAATATACATGTTATATGATGTACGTCGGTCCTTGGTCCCTTTAATACTGTTACCCAAAATAAGTTTGATTTTCATGTAGCGTAAAAGTGACTAAACCCCCCTCAAAACTCCTAGCTGAAACCCCTGCAGTTTACATAAGGCAATGTTTGACATGCCCTTTTTGAAATATCAATCATCGCGCTAAAGTGCCCTTTTCATGATTGGCTCCCTGCCCTTTTGAAATCCTAGCTGGAACACTGATTCTTAATGTCCTATATAAATATCCCATACTTATTTACCTATTCTAAATGTCCTATATAAATATCCCATACTTATTTACCTATTCTAAATGTCCTATATAAATATCCCATAATTATTTACCTATTCTAAATGTCCTATATAAATATCCCATACTTATTTACCTATTCTAAATGTCCTATATAAATATCCCATACTTATTTACCTATTCTTAATGTCATACAATATGTATGATCTTTACAAACAACCCATTCTCTGAAATCTGAAATTTATTTTTGCAATATATTGTTGCCGTCTCCAGTTTTATACATTGTAGCACAGAAACTTAACTTAAAATGATTTGAAAATCTTTAATTTAACATTTAAAGGCTTTATACAGTAAACTGTATGTATAAAACATGATTTATTTCAAATCAATCATGATGAAGGTCAGGTCACTGAATTACTTGGAAATACATTTGTAAGTCAAACTTTAGCTTTCTTTTATGGTTAGTCTATAAATTGGACCATGTCATGAATTCTTTTGTTGAATGAATAAACAGAGAGAAACTTATTTATTGCTATTTTGTGTATTTTTCCTTTGATCTTTTTCTGTGATAATTTTTCATATTGACTTGAGATAGAAAATTATCGCTAGAAACTAAGGGCACACATGACTTTGTCAGTGTACGCACCAACGACGTCAGTAAATAGATTATCTATGGTCTTTCAAAATAGAGGATTTTTCTCGGCCACATCTCATCTCAGGGCTGTTGTCCTTTGATGAGTTTGTAGCTGAGAAACACCCACTTGTTTGAAAAACCATCGATAATCTATAAGAGTAAATCAATCAGAATCACATGCATTCTTTAAAAAAAATTGCCACCAAGAGAATCCGTGTTGAAGGCCATACTTTGACCTATAATGATTTACTTTTACAAATTGTGACTTGGATGGAGAGTTGTCTCATTGGCACTCATACCACATCTTCTTATATCTATTTGAATAGAATAGTGTAAATTTTAAACCTGATTCTTGTTCATTTATCTCCCTTGACTCAGCAGCACTGTCCTGTTTCTTTTTCAATTTATTTTTTCCTTTTCCAGTTTTCTTTTTCCCTGACTTCTTCTTATCCTTTTCTTCACTTTCTGCCCTTTCTTTTTCTGCAGTTGATTCATTTGTCTTGTCAGTGTACAATTCCCATCCAAATGCTGCTAGTTTATCATTACGGACAACGACTTTGGAGGAATTCTTAATTCCTTTTTCTGTGTTAGTGCTGCTGTTTTCACCTTTTACAGGTTTTTCTGATGCATTACTTTTTACATCTGTTGACTTTTTTGTTGTATGTACTGAACATGCTGAATCCTTATATGAACCTAAATCAGAATTTTCATTTTCCCCAGATTCAGACACTTTATGTTTGGAATGATTACTTTCATCATTTGAATTAGATTGTAAACTGCTTTCATCGTTTTCACTTCTCAGGTCTGATGACTCTTTTTTTAAACAGGCATCCAGTTCTGTTTTATCTTGTGAGTCTGTTGCTTCACCAGATTGTACGGGATGTGACTCTAATGTAATAGCACCTGAATCATGTGACATTGAAATACACTCTTCTGTTCTGTTGCTTCCTGAAGACAAAATAGTGTCATCTGATTTCACATTTTCAATGTTAAGAACTTCATGTATGTTTTTAGATAAATCTAATGAGGAATTTTGTGATGTTGATGAAGAGTTTCCTAGCTTCAGCGTGTCATCCTCAGTATAATCTGGTAAATCGTTATTGATACGAGACAAATCTGAGGTAAAAGGTACTGACGAAGCCATATTTTGCTGTAACTCTTCTGTGTTCACCATGTTTAAATCTGATTTGTCATTATCAGAATCTGATGTAGTAGTTTTTACATTTTTATCAAATGGTGTCTTGGAATCATCACAGATTGTATTGTTAATTTCTCCAGTAAGACTGACTTCTGAACCATCCTTTGTGTTTCTTTCTGTATTATTATAACCTTTATCCTTAACAGTTACATTATCACTTTGTTCATGTTGTTCCACTGCAGCATCAGAGGTCATGAGATCATCAGAAAGGTCACTATTTATAACTTTCCCTGAATTGTCATGATTGTTGGAATGCTTTAGACGTTCACTGTTTTCTATAGAATCTGATATATTTGTCAGATTGTTCATGCATGATTGATTACCACTTCCTATTTGTTCCCTTACAGGATTTGATGACACAGTATCTAATTTATCATGAACTTTTGTACTCACATCTCCCGTACCTTGTTCTAATTGATCTAGATTCTCACATATATGTACATTGTCATTTGTTTGTAGTTGGAGCAAAATATCAGTGTTCAAATGTTCAGAATTTTTACATACATTTAATGTTGTGTTCTCATTTTTGGATGAAGGGATATCTTTAGCTAGTTCCTCCTCATTCTTGCAACATTTATCTACTTTAGTGTCTATATTATGTGTATCATTATTTATGGTGGAACATTCTTTTACATTTTGATGATCATTTGAATGGAATGTTACTGAATTATCAAATTCTATTCTCTGATCTTCCCTGGGAGATTTTTCTTGATTAATATCTGTTCCTTGTTCTTCATATGTTTTTATCTTTTGAGCTGACATACATACTGTAGAATTGTCCACATCCAAACATTTCACTTCAGAACTCAAATCAATTCCATGTGACCTTTCCCCAAATTCATCGGACCTGATATATTTTTCCTTGCTCTGAGATCTTACCGTTGTATCTGTATTGTCAACATCCCAATGATCCCCATCAGAGCCTCCCTCTGAACTCTGACTCAATGACTGACCCTTCTCTTGCTCCCTCCTCCTCCCTGGAGGCATGTAAACCTGAGCTGTTCTACTTTTTCTTGGTTTAGTTTGCACCGGTTTGATATCTGAACTGGTCAAGTTTTTCTCCATATCATCAGTCTTTTTATGTGAGTCTGTAGTATCACCCTGTTGTTTTTTTAGCTCAGGTATTGTATATTGGTCACATTCAGTAGAATTGCTCTCAAGACATTGACTTTCTTGTGATTGTGAATTGCCATTACTACTATCTTGAGATCTCCTTCCTCTTGGAATATAAAGTTGAACTTCTGGCTTTTTCCCCCTACCTCTTGACCTGCAAGCATGAATTGCATTTTCTTTTATTATTCAATTGAGTTGTAGTAATGCCTGAATAAAAAACTTGATATTCTTAATTGATTTAATGTGTATTCTAGTCTTGTAAGTAAATATATATTCATACAATTGACTTAAATCAAACAAAAGTAGTTCTTATAACATGCTAATCTGCTAGATCAGTTAAACAATCAGAACAGAAAAAAGCATACTCAATATTGTCAATGATTTTAAGTAAATTAAATATCATGAGACAGAGAATTCAACCAAAACCTTTTACTTAATATAAGCATAATAATGTTAATTCAGAAATTATTGTGAGGTTTTTATTAATGCGAATATTGTGACTTGGTAAGTATCGCAATAATAAAAACTCACGTTCTAACATCTGATACATATATCTGCAGATTTTCCTGACACCGCAATAATTAATCTTGCATTTTTTGTCGTTTCTTCCAAAATCGCAATAACAACAAGCATTCTGTGAGTATTGCATGGCAATACATAGTCCCCTACCAGTTAAAAATTCATTGTATTGGAACAAAATTCTAACTTGATCTATAACTTGTCATGGTGTAAACTATATAACAAATATCAAATCAATATCTTCAAGCATGGCGAAAAAAGTGTTGAAAACTGATTATTTGAGTTAATTTTATAAGTCCAAGGACCATAACTCTGCACAAAATCATCAGACCGGAACAAAATTCAAACTTGATCTGTAACTTGTCATGATAAAACAATACACCAAATATCAAATCAATATCTTCAAGCATGAAGAAAAAAGTGTGGAAAACTGATTTGCCGGACAGACAGACAGACAGACAGACACACAGAGTGCAAACCTCGTCGGTAGGGGACTAATTACATGTAATTATTTCTGAACATACAGAACTAGGGGGTGTTTAACGACCTTGACTACCTATGAGCATCTTACACAGTCAGGAATCAGTAGTATCATAATAACTTAAATGTACTATTTATTCTGTGTTTAGTACCTCTGATTTTTTCTTATTCTGTTTTGATCAAGGTCATCTGCAGCTAAGTCAGAAGGGAGTTGATCTGGTTTTTTGATATGATGTTCAGAACCTGGTATCCCTGACTGTCTTACACCTACTGGTGATATTCCTGGACTATCTCCATCCTGCTTTACTCTTCCCCTTGCCCTGCCCCTACCCACTGAAGGTTTGGGGTTTGACATACAGATACCAGAGTTTGATGATTCACTGAAAAAAATAGTAATAAAATCATTATCTGCTTGATGTGCTACTGTCAAAATGTATTTCTTTTAAATAAATTCATGTCATATTTTTCATTTAAAGTAAATCTATTATCAAACAATAAGTATGTTTCTGTATTGTAATTTTGAAGATAAACTTGAGGTTCAGTGAGCATAGCACATAAAATGATTCCCCTGCCCCTTGTATTCATTAAAGTATACAAAGTATTTAAGAAAACATTTTGTCTTTAAGGCAGTAAAAATTATACAGCAGTCAGAAATGACCTTCTCAGATATTTTAACATTATTCATGAAACATCTTCTGGTGAGAGCAACAAAATCACCAAATATCAATAATATCCTTCATAGAATTCAATAGTTCTGAATCAGACATTCATTGCACAGACATGTATATTTGAAACTACGTTAGTGACCTTAATTGGACTTGCAGACAGACATTCCAACCTTATTCACAACATACATTTTTGATAATGTGCAACAATAATACCAGGTATTCTTAAATTCAAAAATATTGAACCAGACACAATATAGCAAGGGGTATCATGGGTATAAAAATAAACATTCACTACAAAATCAAAAGACATCTAGAGGTCAACATGTCATCTTTAACAATAAATAAATGTGTGTACAATATATAAATATAAGGAGATGATATAAATAAGATGTGGTATGAGTGCCAATTAGACAACTCTCCATCCAAGTCACAATGTGTAAAAGTAAACAATTATAGGTCAAATTACGGCCTTCAACACGAAGCCTTGGCTCACACCGAACAGCAAGCTATAAAGGGACCCAAAATGACTAGTGTAAAACAATTCAAACAGGAAAACCAACGGCCTAATCTATATAAAAAATAAAAAACAAGAAACACTTAAGAACCACATCAACAAACGACAACCACTGAAACAGGTTCCTGACTTAGGACAGGTGCAAACAAATGCAGTGGGTTTAAACGTTTTACAGCTGTTATCCTAATGCTAGCAAGTTAAAGGTTTGGTTGGCTTACTCTTTGTTTGTATTAATGTTTGCTCAAGCATTGTAATTAAGATTGACATCTGAAAACAATATAAAAAGGCGGAGTTAAACTTGTATATATTATATTTAAAATTGATTAGACATTATCAAATACCTGTAATCAAATTTACCTATAAGTCCTATATACAAGGTTTAACTCCGCCTACTTATATTGTTTAACAGGATAACAGCTATAACAGGCGCCAACATGTATGATAGCTAATGAGACAACAATCCACCAAAGAACAATGATGCTTGTACTCCTAAATGTCACATGTCAGGCAGAATAGAAGTAAAGCCGTAACTACCTGCACTAAAGGTGAGCATGCCACTGTTAGACTTCTGACAATGACTGAAGTGGTGGAAAAATCATGTTTATTTCTTTATACATTTGTTTACAAAATTATAAGGGTTCAGGCTTTACAAACATGCATTGCCATTATTCTAACACATAAAAAGGGTAACAGGAATTACCAAAAATATTTGACAGAACAACAGGTCATCATTACTTTTTTTTTTAAATCAAATTTAATGAATTTCATTTCTCTGATTTTTCTACTATCCACCAGCCCCAAAACAGACATAGACGTTAACATCTATAGGTCACCGATGTCCATGCTTTGTTCAAAAATAAACTGACATTGCAAATTTTATTTTGACATCATCATGTGTAAATTGTTACCGGTGTTAACCAAGCAACAATCAATCAATCATTATCAAGCATGTGTAGTTTTGTGTACCTCATGTTTTGTTGAACTAAGTACACAGCTTGGTTAGCAAAATTAAAAGAAAAGTGTCATTTTAGAACTTAACAGAGAACATGTTACTCTTTTTAAATCTAGCTACATACTGTATAAATTGAGTTTTGGGGATTTTTTAAAATAAAATAGTTTTCATTACTTCTCCATGTGAAACAGTTCTACATATAATATGTATGACATATTATTCTTTACCCGATAAAATCTTTCTGGTCACAAATAACAAGTCTCCTGAGTATTCCTTGTCCAATGGAAAAACTTTTCAATTCCTTATATTCCTCTGTGCATTTATGGGCTAGAAACCTGTGGAAACTGTTAAATGGTGGAAAAATCAACACACTGAAAATAAAGTTAAACTTGATAAGTTTACTCATTTTTTTTTAGGGTGTGGATCACTACGACAAAACCTGAGGTTCTAATAAATATTTTCAAAACAGAAAGTAAAACAGAGTTGATTAAATCCTTGTAAGCCAAGCATGGACATTGGATATATATATTCCAATCAGAAATAATGTAGGCGTAAATTGGTGAAATCAATACAGTGTATATAAGGTAGTTAACAAATGAAGATGTTGGTTTTCTCTTTTGAATTGTTTTACATTTTGTCATGTCAGAGCCTTTTCTAAGCTTACTATACAGTATGGGTTCTGCTCATTGTTAAAGGTCATATGGTGATCTACAGTTGCTTAAATCCATGTCATTCAGTCTCTTAGGCTGGTGGATAGTTGTCTCATTGGCAATAATACCACATCTCCTTAATTTCTTATTGAATGCCAGCTGACTCTAATATCAAGTCCTTTTTAACTGTACTTTAAAAGTTTCTCAATTTTATTTTTACAAGAAAATTGGTAAAGCAGTACTAAAGAAAAAGAGGGTCAAGTGTATAAGAAAACTTGTATACTACCATGACAACAGTTAACCTTGTTACATACATTGTAGTATGAGGTCAATTCTAAAATTTGTACAAAAACTTATAAAGGATTTCTTCAAATATTGGATACAGAATTACTCTGAAGTGCATTGAACATTTGTAAGGAATAATCTAATTAAAATGGAAAGGTTTTCATCATATGGTAAAAAGAATCAAACAATTTTTTTTTATCAAGCAAGAAACAACTTACAGCTTAAACATGTTAAAATATTGGGGATGAAAATTTAGTATTCAGAATGCACATTCAAACTGGTTTTTTTTCATACCTTTTCTTTGTACCACTTTGTATAAATTTCTTTAAATCGATGTTTATGTTATCTATGAATTTTTCCTCCAATGGACTTAAATATCTACTCTCAAAGTAGGAAGCCAGATCTAGTCAATTAAACTGCCACCTTTCATCACTGTAACAAAAAACATTTAAAATAAAACATATAAGGTAAAAATAAAAAAAAATCTTAAATAATGCATGTACACAGTACATAAAAATATATAATGTATTTGTACATTGTCGGAAAATATAAATTTATTTGTATGAGCTTTAGAAACAGAACAAAAAGCCAGGCTCGCCGAGCTTTTCTCCAGTTTCATAGGGAGTACAAATAACTTTTATATTTCCGAAAATATACTTTTATTGTTTTTATCCTGCAATTTACACCTGGCACTTTAAGGTTTAGTTTTTAAAATTTAAATAGTTGTTTCTGATTTCTCAAAGAAATCGAGATAGTTTAAACACAAACTACGAAGAGGACCCAACAATGAATTGTCACACAAAAAGAAATATTCACATTACCGTTTGCTCAATATAGAAGAGTTGTAACACGATGGGTGCCACATGTCGAGAAGGATCTGCTCATCCTTCTGGTTTTTGGTGGGATTCGTGCCGATTAGTCTTTAGTTTTCTATGTTATATTTTATATACTGTTGTTTGTCTTTTGTTTGTTATATATTTTTTTCCATGACCTTGTCAGTTTGTTTTTAGGTTATACAGTCAGGGGAATTACTTAATTGAGTGATTTTTTTTACTTATTCAAGTAACATTTTGTCCAGAAATGTTGCAAGAGTAGTCTTTCTTTAATAATCACCTATTTAAGTAGTACAAATAAATAACTTGACTAAGTGATTTTATTTTATTGTAGCTTTATATATATAATACTTATGATCCTAGGACTAATTGTGATGCTAAAATTATCCTAACCAACATCTGTGTTCATAGGATGACCGGTCATGTCAGGTGATGACCCTGTACTGAATCTGGGATAATGACATGAAAATCACTTGTTTAACATGTTTAAGTATATTATTCTTATACTTTCTTTAAAAAAAACTTCTATAAGTATTATTTTATTAATTACCCCCCCGCCACTATTTTTAAGACCTCCAAACAGTTAAATTTTGGTCGCGAACAGTAAAATTTTATTACATAATCTGAAACCTAGAATTTTACAGGAAAAATACTCCCACTGCTGCTAAAAATCTGTTAAAAAAGTATTAGATGCTGATCATAATTTAAAGCTTTCATTATACAATTTTTTTCAACAAATTTAGAATTAACAGATGAATGATTGCATCAAAGGCATAAACCTTTCTACCTGAAAGAAGCAAAAGGTCCATTTTTCAATTTTACTAATTATCAGAAATAACCTAAACCTGTATGTTAAAAATTTTGGTAAAACTACAAAATTATAGAATTTCTAATTTGCTACTTAAATGAGTGATTTTAAAATCACTTATTTCCATGATTTCAGTAATTCCCCTGACTGTTATAGGTTTGAATATCCCTTTGGTATATCTTTGGCCTCTCTTTTAAAGACAGAATAAAAACATAGGTCAAACTTCGTTTCATTGTTCTGAACAAGTATTTTGTTTTAGGAACAGAATAGTTATACTAATTGAAAAAAAATAAAGGATGAATTGTGAAACTGATTTGATGCTTATTTTTTTATCAAGCATGCCCTCCTTTTCCAGTTGCAGTCAAAATTCATGCCCTTCATTCTGGTTGACCTATTCTGCAGAACCTCTCTATTGGACTGTTGATTTTTTCTTGTCCTGTATTAAATATATTTGTGACTGGACATTAGACAAATGTGAACAATAAATCAATTAATTGACTTATAGCATCTGTAAATTGCAACCCGGCTGTGCCCCTGAACTATCTACTACTTTCAAGCAGCATCACAATCTTTGCCCTTGAACTATCTACTACTTTCAAGCAGCATCATGATCTTTGAACCACGCTGAGGCCTTCATGCTCAAATTGTTTGCCTCACTATAAATCAGGGCCAAGCTATGCCACTTGTGTCATGACAGGCATTATAATAAAACACAAAATTCAAATTTATATCAACACCGTAAATTGGTACCTGATTTTCGGTATAATACCATTTTTCTGTTATTTTGTGTTTTTCTGTTTAATTTGAATATAAAGAATATATCCACCTGCTTATCTACTCTATTGATGACATAAAGCTAAATTAAAATTACCCTCACCCTCAAAGGCATCATACACATGTACATGTAATTTTGGATTTGGCATTATATAGCAGAACTGAAGTTTTTCAGAAAAATGCTATCTAGGATTAATACAGGAATTTATTTAATTGTTCTAGATGTCATGGGGCAGCTTATTTTTTTCATAACTAATTGTATCATAAAGTCTGCCTTTAAATAATAAAAGAACAAGTGAGCGAGTAGAATAGCAGAGTTACTTCCCACAGGAGTACCTAGCTAGTGGAAATAAGTACTAAGTGAGTGGAAATAATATATAATTTGAATAGACCATTTCCAGTTATGTCCTTCATCGGAAAAGTTTGTCAATAATGCATGCCTTATGATGTCATTTACCAGATAGAGGGGACTGCCTGTATCCATGCACTATTAAAGTTCATCAAGGGTCTTCGTGATCGTCATTATGCAGGATAAACTAGAAATAATGTTTGTTCCGTAGGTACTTAATGACAATTCCCTAATGACAGCAGTGCTGATTATCAATTGTAGGAATTTAATTTGCTGAATAATTTGTGCAATACAGCATCATATTTTTTCAACCGCTCGCTCAACCTGGGAAGGAAGTGACGATGCCCCTAAACGCACGATTTGATATTTCACTATAACCAAAGTTTTTGACAGAAATGCAACATAGAAGCGTTCCTGACAAATAGAACCCAAGTAGTAGTAGTTGAGGGTGAACAGTCAGACAGAGCAAAGGTAGAATCTGGAGTTCCACAAGGGTCAGTCCTAGGCCCTAGTCTATTTTTGTTTTACATAAATGACCTAGCGAATGACCTAAAATCAACAGTTCGTCTCTTTGCTGATGACACAGTAGTCTACTTAACCATCGCCTCAGATACTGATTGCCAACACCTACAGTCAGACCTTGATAAACTGGCACTATGGGAGGAAAAGTGGAAGATGGAGTTTCACCCAGAAAAGTGTAGCGTACTGACTGTCTCCAGAAAGAAAAAGCCAATCAAATGGGACTATGTATTACATGATCATGTACTAAAACATGAAACATCAATTAAGTACCTGGGCTGCACCATCACAAGCGAACTAGACTGGGGAGAACACATCAACAACATTACCAGCAAAGCCAGCAGAAGCCTTTGTTTCCTCCACAGAAATCTACACATCGGCTCTAAAAGCATCAAAGAGCAAGCTTACAAAACTCTAGTAAGGCCCCAACTAGAATATGCCACAACAGTATGGGACCCATATCATCAGAAACTTATTGACCAAATTGAAAAAATTCAAAGGAGGGCTGCGCGATACGTCACCAAGCGCCACAGAAACAGATCAAGTGTAACGGACATGATAAATGAATTGGGTTGGAAAAGTCTCCAAGAGTGACGCAGAGAGGCCAGGCTCACAATGATGTACAAGATCGTCAACGACAAAGTAGCCATCAACAAAGACATGTACCTCCAAAGACCAACCAGAGTATCCAGACATACACAACAGCATGGATACATGGTACAAACAGCAACCAAAGACCAAAGAAGACTGCAGGAAATGGTCCTTCTTTGTGAAAACCACCAAAGACTGGAACAAGCTCCCCCCCTGAGATCTCCACAGCACAGTCATTTGAGACATTCAAATCTCAAATGACCAACCTTACAAAATAAGATGAACATTTGTTTTTAACCATGCAGAACCAATTTGCCAGTATATTCAGAAAGTTGAATGTGGGCAGTATATGGAAGAAGAAGAAGAGAAGAAGATACTCGAAAGTGGTCTATTGAATAAAATTTGCAATGTCAGTTACAAGAATATTTGTTTTCATTGTACTATAGCTGGACAGATAATTTTGTTTCTGAAAGTCTATATATTTTTATAGTAGGACCATCCATGGTTTGGATATGTTTCATCATTTATCGTCAACAAATTTGCAGGATCAATGGATTATCAACCCCTTGAAAGATCTATGTAATACCTCACCTCATATAAAAAATAAATTATTTAAAAAAGCTGCCAAACACAAACAATAAACTGGAATCTGTTGTCTCCGTCAACGTTTTGGTTTTTAGTTCAACACTGACCTTTGTTTACTTCCGGTTGAATTACAGCTTTGCAAAGTTGACGAAAGTTGTCTTTCGTCAGATATAATGGTCGAATTTGCCATTTACCAGACATTAGTTCTGCTTTGAATAATGCATTTTATTGAAATCTAAATTGTCTTAAAAAACTGTTATTTGATATTGGTGTCTTTGTAATCCAATTTTCTGAGAAGTTTAATGTAGACGTGTCACTTACTGATTTTGACATTTGTTCCCGCCATATATAACAATGTTCCTCAAGCTGATATTGTTTCTTGTATACATTGTTATACTATTTCTTCTGACACGTATTCTTGAAACTTTAACATGGATTGAAGTGGGTAATCTGTCCCGTAGACTACTTGATCCAATGACTATGTCTGTGATGAAACTAAAGGCCTTGCTAGACCAAAGAGGGATCAGTTATGAAGGGGCAATAGAGAAACAAGAGCTTGCAGAACTAGTTGAATCATCAGGTTAAACAAATTACAATTTAACATTTTAAAATGTGGAAAGTACATGAAAGTAATTGTAAAAATCTTGCAGATTTCTGTATCAAGAAAAAGATACATGAATATATTGCATTTTGTACCATGATAACAGACAAAAAGAAATAATATGAGTCAGGTTACACAATTTACCTGACAACCCCTCTTGTTTTACTGTTGACAACATTCATTTTACTGCGGATTGTATCAAAAACTTTAAAAAAAGAATAAGAACAAGCAAAAACATTATAAAATGTTATTTAAAATTTGATAAAAAACATATTGTGTTACATGTAACTTAAACCATTGTCGTGACGTCAGCCTATTTATTCACCGTGGATTCTTTTTCTAGAATCAATGCTTTCTAAATCTGTCGCTGAAATGGATTCACCAAATTATATTCAATTGTTTCCTTTGTGTGCCTAATTTCATTAAGTTTGAATTAGCTAATTTACTGATTTCTGTTCACTATTGGAATTAATTTAAAAACTTACCTTTAATTTTTGTAATTTTTATATGCCTTCACTGGGAATCGAAGCCGTCCTTGAAATCTGTTATGTGTGACTGACATCAACTTATCGACGAAACCTCTCGGCTACCAATTGGTTACAATTTAAATGTCTATTTTTAGTATTTTATATATTTAAATGAACATTTGATATACAACGGACACACAGGGCTTGTACCTTTGTATATACATAATAGGCAATCGTACAGTATAAGTTGGTAGCCACGAGGTTAGCATGGTTAAGATCAATGAGTTAAAGAGTCAAGTTAAAGGTAGGGACTTGTCGGTTTAGGTTCGAATCCCTGTATTCTCTTTGTTGTCCCTATTCTTTAGTTTTTCTTTTTTGTTCTTATTTTGTATGTAATTGTGGATATTTTTGTAATAATAGCAAGTTTTACCGTTTATTTTTGGATTATTATTGGCTATTTCACATATTTGAAACGAAAATGATTACATTCAATTTGTCCATTGTTTTATAAATATAGTAAGATTTCATCTGTTTTACTACATAATTTTACAAATGTTTATTCGCAAATTCCTATGCGAGTAAATTGTGATGTGCCTAGAATTAGGCTTCTTGCTAGAAATTTCGGTAACATTATGTCATACTTATACTTTATATATGCTCTTTGGTCAGGTTGTTGTCTCTTTGACACATTCTCCGGGCTCATGGTTTCTTTTTCAAGAATCAACGCTTATTCATTGTATCTATATAACTTATTATACATACAAGCCTCTTATTACATGCATTATTAACAGTACTAAAAAGATAATTATACTTGCAGAAGGAGGGAACTTCAGATTGATTTCAATTAAATTCTATTTCAACATAAATATGACACATGCAAAGTCTGTTCAAACAAAAAAATCTGTCCAACTGATTCTACATGTACATAAAAATGAGGCGATGTAGTATGTTTGCCTATGATAACTATCCATTAGTGTCCAAATAACATTGATGTAAGCAACTACAGGTCACACTGTACAGTCATCATCAATGAGCCAAACCAATACTGTTTTGTCGGCTATAAATGGTCCCCACATAAAAAAATGTGAAACAATTCAAACAAGAAGGACCAATTTTAGGTTCTTTCCCATACACAAAACAATTCTTTCCAAGATCTAAGACTAATGTTTTAAATTAATGTGTGGAGACTTAGTAATAGATTGATTGATTGATTGGTGTTTTACGCCACTTTCACCACTATTGTGCTATTTCGTGGTGGTCAGTTTTTATTGGTGGAGGAAGCCAGAGTGCCTGGATAGAACCACAACCTTTGGTGGGAAAACTGACAATCATAGTCAATTAAGATTGGAGTCGAACCCTCCTGGCATTTGCGAGATGAGAGCTCACAACCTCAGTGTTGACAGGCTAGTGATACAGTAGTTCTACTACTTAGACCACTCGGCCACCGAGACCCCTCATTGTTATAGAGTTCCAAAGTGACTATTCCTGGGGAAATGCCTTCAGTCATTATGGAGGCACACACTACATGCACAATGACATGTACAATGTATGAAATGACAGTCCACCTGAAAATACTTGTAATACAAGATTTAATACAACATATTTTCCAATGTAAAATACATTCTCAAAATATTAAATGGTGCAGATCTTATGACGCCTACTACAACACAAATAATACAAAGCATTTGGAAATCAAATTTTGTTGTAAATAGAAAACACAAAAATGTATTCACACAATTTTTATAATTATTTCAATTTAATTTAAGGTGCCATTGCAGAAGACACAAAGACAACTAAGGAAGAAGAAATCTCTACAGTTGCTGTAACAAATTTTACAACCGGAAGTCTGTTTGATGAACATGTAGAGGATGCTAAGGATAGCATTTGGTTGGTTTATATCATACCAGATCAAAGCCATGTCAACTACTTAGCAGATACTAGCTGGAATATCATCAAACAAAAAATGTCTTCATTTGGTGTTAATATAGGAGTTTTTGATTGTAGTTTAGACCCCATGTAAGTACAGATATGAGTTTTGTTCACAATAAAAAAAGAAACAAACCAAACGTAGAAGAATACGAAATACTTAAAGTATGATCAAAAGTTTCAGTTAAAATGACTTATGTATTTTCCCAATTAATGTTCTTTTAAAGTAAAATTCCCAAATTACTGGATGGGAACTTATTTGAAAAAAATATATATATTTATATTTTATGTATCAAACTATTCAATAGATATTGCCAATTTTCGCTTTAACCATCCAAGGCTACAGTCCTTGAAAGTTTGGAAAATGGCACTATATGTCATTTCCATGCAATAACTATAAACCGCATTTGTTCTTTTGAACTTAAAATAAAGCAAACCATATAGATACATGTACATCTACATGTAGGTCTGCTTCATACCTTGACTTACCAAGAAATGGATGACTTCAATTTTCTCATCGTGAACTTTCCATTTTTCTAACACACCTACAACACCTTCCTGAATAATTCAGTATTTATATTCCACTGCTCTAGAATGTCTATGCCTTGTTAATGAATAATAGTCAATCAATCATTGGGATTTACCACTCCTGATAAAATTGAGCTATAAGCTGATTGGCTCTCTCTCAGACTCTGTCACAGAGATCACCAATTAGAATTCAGGATTCATGACATGTTTTTATCATATTAAGATTTCAGTCCCTTGCAAGTAGGAGAGATTGATAAAAAAATAATGATGAGGAGTGTCTGAATTATTTTGGTAACTTCACATGATGTTTATATTTCCTGTTGATACAAAATTCCAAGTCTTGTGTTTCCTATCATTCCTGGGGTTGCTTCTAACAAGGAGGCTAATGAAATAATGAACCAAGGGTTTGTATTTGTAAAGTTGAAGCCAATTATTTGAAAGTTTAATTCATGCCATCATGACTTGGTTTACAGAATATCTGTGTCACTGATAAAGACAAACATGTTCCATCCTCTTTTCTGGTTTATAACTTATTACAGACACATATCTTATTGTAAACAAATCAACAGGTGCCACTAGTGAAGCAGGAACTGTCTATCCTTCCAGAGCACCTGAGTTCAGTCATTTGCATTTTGGTGGGATTTTATTACTCAGTCTTTAATTATTTTTCTGTATAATATTTTATGGAGGACTTGTTTTTTTATTTCCATCTTATTTTTTTGGCTGTTGGTCCTTTTTTACTATAATATATTTTTGATTAACTATAAGATAAGGAGATATGATTGCCAATGAGACAAATATCCTCTAGAAAGCAAATAACCTATTGTTTGGTACCTTTTTAAAAAAAAAAAAGGGGGCCCAAATAAGCATTTTTCTAGTTTCCAGACAATAACTTGTGGAACGGTGTATGGATCTCTCTGAAATTATACCACAAGTTTCCATACCACAAAGGGATGGTTAGGATTGGCTTTGGGGGGTTATGGCTCAAACCGTTTAGGAATTAGGGGCAAAAAAGGGGGAAAAACAAGGGTTTCCTGGTTAATGGACAATTAAAAAAAAGTACAATGTTATGTTTGGATTACCTCCTTTAATTTACACTGCTTTTAAATTATGTATAAAGAAATGTTGTATTGTCTTGAGGTGATTAACTGTCAATTTATTTTTAGAAGTTACTATTTAAAAATGCTGATTAAGGAATATTAATTTTAGCCATGATTATGTATATATGTCATTTACTATTTTAAGACTTTTATGATGTATTTAAATCGGTACTTATGGTTGCAAACTCCATTGGAAATTTGAATTGAGATTATGACCATATCTTGAGGGAAAGAATTTATTTTTTTGGAAAAAGGGGGAGGTGAAAAAAAATTGGGGGGGGGGGGGGGGGGGTAAAAGGAAATTGTGAGGGGGAGGACAATTTTTTCTCATTTCAGATTTTAGAAATTAAAAAGAAAATTTCTTCGAATATTGTTTTTTTTTTTTGCAAAAAAAAGGGGAGGGGTAAAATTTATTTTTTTTTTTGGAGGGGGGGTGTCCTTTAGCAACAGCATAGTGTATTGCACAAAAGCAAAAAAAATAATATAAATTCAAATCATACAACCAATTCTAAGTTCTTTGACTACAGTTATTCTGTGTCAGAAACCTTATATGTGTCAAATATTTAATTACAATCCAAATTCGGACCTGTATCAAGCGCGAATATTGTGTCCATTTTTGCCCCAACTGTTCAGGGTTGGACCTCTGCGGTCATATCCAGCTGTGCTTGTCGAAGCAATTTATTCTTACTGCTATAAATCTTTTCTTTGGTTTTCCAAATTGTTTATGATAAATACAGACAAAGGAGTCTTGTAAGTAAATTTTGTGGCTAGGATTTTGTCTTGCCTGTGAAGATAATCAATAAAGGTAGACATTTTTTTTAAATTTGTGATTAGGGTTACTATAGTTGAACATATCTATGTGTTGGCAGTTTATTTTTATGTTGAAAAAGTTTAACATAATATTGCAATTTACCTTTAAAGATTACAGAGAGCAGTCATTTGTTTTTATTTTTTTTATTTTGCAGGTACTGTGCAAGAAGAGATTGGTATTACACTTGTCTTATACTCGGTCTCCCAGAGGAATTCCAGACAAAATCTAAAGTTACTTTGTTTAAATATACAGGTCCATTTAAAGTTAACAACATCCATTCATGGATTAAAGAAAGTATCAGTAAGAAAGTGCACACAGTGAACAGCTTGAACTCATACTCCAACAATTGGATGCAGTACATAACTCCTAGAGATCCATCAGAAGTAAGGGTGGTCATGTTTTCCAAATATCCATCCATTCCTCTCTTTTATTCTTCAGTCAGTGTAAAGTTTCCAGGTCGTGTCAAATTTGGTTTTGTTGATACCAGAAGTAAAAGTGGAAAAGATATTCTGTATAATATTCAGTCAGTAAAACCACCAACTTACTTAATTATTACAAGTGAGTACATTCTGGTATATGGACAAAACTTTGGAGAAGATCTTAATTTCAAATCTATGGAAACTTATCTGAAAACTTTATATCCTTGTGTCAATGATATTTTTATTTTGAGTATAATAATATGTAATTGTGTAACACTGTTGGAAATAAGTTTAGCACAAGGAACATTTATAAAGAGATTGATGAAATTGATCTGGTGTATTGTAAAGTTTAACATGTGTCTGTTATTAATATGGATAGCTTTACTGACACTTTTACAACTTCCCTTAATGCATAACATAACAGTTCTTTGTTTAAAATTACTAAGATTATGTCGACTATCAACCTTTGGAACACATTTCTACAAAGATTATTGTTTTTACTCCCGTCACTTTGTTTTTACTGAAATATTTTTTGGTTTATATCTTGTAACCGTTGGATACATACAATACAAACGTAAAGGACCACTCGAAGAGGAAGAGGATGTTGAAGCAGATGAATGGAACTTTACAGAATTTAGAACCTTAGAACATTTATTTAGTCCCACAGCAGGTTTGTTCAGAACAGCTGGAATCCCAGCAATAGATCCTGAAAGAGTTCATATGCGAGATATCCCCACCCTACGACAGATATGTAGTGTACCCGATGATTATATCACAAAATTACCCAAATGGCAATTTATAATGGACAAAACAGTTGAAACTATCGGGAACATTGACAATATTTCTCAGCCTGAAGAAACATGTAAATGTAATTCAGATCTACCTGGCAATGCATTCAATACAAAATCATGTGAAAAGTGTAGAAAATTACAAAATGAATGTAATGGACCAAAATCATCTCCATCAGTAAAAAAGAAACAATTACATTTGGACAGACTGAAAAATTCTGATCCTACAACTACCGACCAATCTGACACTGACCAAGAGAAGGATGCTATGGAGGAGGAACATTTACACTTAGAAAACAGTCAGTGTGTAATATGTTTGGATGATTACACAAAAGGTGTGTGGCTGTGTGGATTACCATGTGGTCACAGTTTTCATCAGACATGTATACACATATGGTTAACACGGGACAATCATTATTGTCCAGTTTGTAGATGGACATCCTACACACCTAAGCCATCCTACATACACTTACATTCAGAATAGTCTGTTTGTGATCTGTCTCTGGATTGGAAACATTGTATTCAAGAATTATACATGTAGTGGATTCTGTTTTGTTTTTGAATATGTGTGGATCCATATTTTTACCTACATGTACATGTATTGGGTATATTTAATAAACATTTGAAAAGTAAAGATGAGGGGATAAATTAATTTCTGGTAAAAAGGAATAAATTTGTTTTTAATCTTAAAATTTTCTTCCTGAAAAGTAAGAAAAAGTATCTTTAAGAAAATAAGAATAAAGAAATGCTTTAAAAAAAAAACATTTTGGATTACCTCATAAATATGATAAAGGTAAAATTACAAATTGAAGATAAATAATGCACATGAATGATGCATTTCAGTCTGAAACAATTTAACATGTATAATTCTTATGATTTGGAAAATTAGGAATTCTGTTCTATGATTGGATACCAGTGGTAATTATTATGGAAGGTTATTTTATTTTATAGTCCATGTTAACTGTACTACTGTTAAAAATGTAGACAACATCTTACACAATTCATGTTACAGATACAAAATATTTACAATTGATGATTGAAGAATCAAATCATAAGAATTTATATTGGTATTCAGTTTTTACGTATGGATTTCAGTTCTAACATTTTTTTCTTTCAATGATCATTCAGTCGTTCTTTGTCAGTTTAGACCAAAGAATCATTTAGGATATTAGTCCATACATAGATGTGTTACTTTATTAAAGTTAATAATCAGGAAATTTATGTTATGTACCAAAGTTCCGATCTTAATTGTTTCTTTTTCATTAATTTTTTTATTTGTGTGACTTTATTTTAACAATAATTGTAATAAATACCTTTAAAAAGGAGAAGTTCTGACTGAAAACAAAACTAAAATGTTAACCCTTATAATGCAAGATCTACATGACAGAAAATCTCTTGGCATAGGACAACTCTCTACTTATATTTTATACCTTTGAATATACACTATATAATACAGTGCTGTTTTATCTATCTGAAGTTGTTATATTTTTTTTTGTTATTTAGTTTAGTTTATTTGATTTGTTATATAGAATATATATATGTTTTTCATTATTTGAATCATACTTCTACTATATATACACACTCATTAGTGGCTGAGCTATAACTTATTTAATTGTTGTAGTAACAATACAATGCAAGTCTTCCACATCTTTTTGCCAACATTTAGAAATTATTATATTTTGTCAACAATTATCACAATAGTTTTTATACGACTGCAAAAATTTTTGTGGTCGTATATTGGTATGACGTTGGCGTCGTCGTCGTCCGAAGACACATTGGTTTTCGAACTCTAACTTTTAAGTGAATGGATCTCTATGAAATTTAACATAAGGTTCAATACCACAAAAGGAAGGTTGGGATTGATTTTGGGGGTTATGGTACCAACAGTTAAAGAATTAGGGGCCAAAAAGGGGCCAAAAATAAGCATTTTTGTAACTTCCAGACATGACTTGTGTGTTAGAATGCTGGGATTGATTTTGGGGGTAATTGCCTCCAAATTTTAGGAATAAGGGGCCAAAAAAGAGGCAAAAAAACAAGCATTTTTGATAGTTTCATGACAATAACTTGTGTGTAAGTGTATGGATCTTTATGAAATTGTACTACAAGGTTCCATATCACAAAGGGAAAGCTGGAATTGAGTTTGGGGGTAATTGCCCAAAACGTTTAGGAATAAGGGGCCAAAAAGGGGCCAAAAATAAGCATTTTTCTAGTTTCCAGACAATTTCTTGTGTTCAAGTTTATGGATCTCTCTGAAATTGTACTGCAAGGTACCATACCACAAAAGAAAGGCAGGGATTGAGTTTGGGGTTAATTGCCTCAAAATGTTAGGAATTAGGGGCCAAAAAGGGGCAAAAAAACAAGCATTTTTCTAGTTTCAGGACAATAACTTGTGTGTAAGTGTATGGATCTTAATGAAATTGTACTACAAGGTTTCATATCACAAAGGGAAAGCTGGGTTTGAGTTTGGGGGTAATTTCCCTAAATGTTTAGGAATTTGGGGCCAAAAAGGGGCCAAAAAACAAGCATTTTTCTAGTTTCCAGACAATAACTTGTTTTCAAGTGTATGGATCTCTCTGAAATTGTACTGCAAGGTACCATACCACAAAAGGGAAGGCTGGGATTGAGTTTATAGGTGATGAATCATAAGGGGGTTCAAAAATTTTGGGGGGGGATTTTTTTTTTCTTTTTTTTCTTTAAAATTTTCCATTTAAAATTGGTTATTTCTGATTTATATACAAAAGCAAATAATAATGATTTGGTTTGAAAAGGTAAATTAAAATTTTTTAAGTTCTTAGACCACATTCATTCTGTGTCAGAAACCTATGCTGTGTCAAATATTTAATTACAATCCAAATTCAGTGCTGTATCAAGCTTGAATGTTGTGTCCATACTTGCCCCAACTGTTCAGGGTTCGACCTCTGCGGTCATATCAAGCTGCGCCCAGCGGAGCATTTTATTTTCATTCTAATTTAGTTTTTTTTTATTTTTGTTTCTAGAAATTGATACTTGTTTTTTGTGCTATTTCATAAGTTTGAATATTTTTAAAGCTGTTAAACTAAATTTAACTTTGAAATTCAGAGCACCAAAAGCTAAAATTGGATAGTTATAAGGGCCTTGTTAGATATGAATTTTCCAATAAAAAAAATGAACATTATCATTCGCTGTGGCAATCTTGCACTCTTTTAAAGTTAAATTGGACATATTTGATTAAATGCAGATATTTTTCTACATGTTCTCACTTTTCTTTTGGGGGGGGGTTGATGTCATTGACCACATTGGACATCAACTATTGTTGTATGACGTCAGAGGAGTGAAAATATACAGGATTTATTTCACGTGTGAAGTATTGGGTTTTATTTTACTGGGATATCACAGTATTTCACTACAATCTTAATACTGAAAATAAAAAGTACTATAATAATATCCTCAAACAAAAGAACATTGGTTCCTTATTTTCAGGTAAAATGCATGGCATCTGTTCAATCTGTTTTGAATGAGATGAATATGATTTTATGAAGGAAAAGTTATTCAGAGTAGATCAGCTTTTAGTTTTGCAAATGAAATGAATCAAAAATTTTATAAATTATAAGTTATATCTTAAAATATTTGACAGTATGAAACATGTAGTTGTTATAGAGAATTGTATAGTATTTTTTAAATGAAAAGTAACAACAAATGAACAACAGTATCCAATTGAAATAAAACAGAGTAGCACTAATTGTTATCTATATGATATATTTGACGAATAAAATATCACTAATTGATCATTATTATTTATTAAGCCTTGAATCAATCAGTTATGTAAAGTTATGATTTTTTACGACATTTTTATTATCGCAAAAATTGCAACAGGATAGGCCTTGCAAAAATAAAATTTGTATGCAGCATTTCCACAAAATCACAATAATTGATCTCACATTTTAGTCCATTGTTCAACAGTTAAAATAGCAAATGCGTGCAAAAATAAAAAAAATGGACAGTATATAAAATCAAATTGAATTGTGAAGATTTGGAAAAAACTTTATAATTTCTACTTTAGTTTCCAAAAAAATATGGATAAATCATCAAATTGTCTTTCAATGGCCATAATTCCTATTAAGGAGTCAAATGAGGATTTCTGCCATTTGATTTATTTGTAGATCTTATTTAATTGATCAAATTTGCTTTTACATTTTCTCTGTATCTACTATAGTTTCAGCAAAAACACAAAAATGGGTAAAAATCATCATTCATCAACAATAACTCCTGTAAGGAGTCAACTGATGATTTTGGCTATGTTAAGTTATTTGAAGATCTTGCCCTGCCGATCATTTTAATTTTTAAAGAGTAAAAGAAGCAAGACTTAGGTATGCTGTTTCCGATAGTGGCGGCTGTGTCAACATTTTGTTAAAGTTTGTGATTGGGTCAGGTTATGGGGAACCGCTAAAAGGTAAATCAGTGATATCTGGTATGCAGTTGTATAAGCATTGGCCTATCTCATTTCCATGGAGATTATTTGGTCCCAGGCCCTCAGTCATGGTCTATTGACTTTTAAACTTTTGCACAGTTTACATGTTATTAGTTTGTGATTAGGTCAGTTTAAGGGGAACCAATTAAGTTAAGTCAATGATATTTGGTATGCAGTTGTATTAACATTTGCATATCATATTTGCTGGGAATTTATTTGGCTCTACCTTCAGTCATGGTTCATTTACTTTGAATGTTTTGTGTATTTTACATGTTAAAATATTGCTATTTTAATTTCAACATTTGCATTTTACTATAAAATTTCAAAGAGGCAAGACATTTATCTTATCTCTAACTTATATATATAGTTTCAACAAAAAAACACTATAATGGGGATATAAAATTGTCATTTAAGGTCAATAACTCCTATAAATGATTGACTGACAGTTACGGCCATGTTAAACTATTTTTAGATCTTGTCATGCAGATTAGTTGTTGCTATTTATAGGTTCTTTCAATCAACTTTAGCTTTTGAGAAGCCAAAATTGCAAAAGTTGTTGAGAACTGTCATTTAAGGGGCAATAACTCTTTCAAGGAGTAAACATTGACAGCAAGTTGACATGGCGGCATCGGCCAGTTGAGCTTAAAAGCATTTTTAACAAAAATTTAGAATATAAGATACCCAATGAAAATTAGATGAATTTTTTTGAAAATGTTCTCATCAGTGGAAATCAGAAGCATATTTTAGAAAATTTGAAGATGTGATGTACAATTAATCTAGCTAGTTAAATAACATAAAATAGGATCAACTGGGATCAGAAAATGTAAACCTGATTTGCTTCAAGTTAAAAACTAGAGGCTCTAAAGAGCCTGTGTTGCTGGATTTCAGAAGATTTGAAAATCTTCTTCTACCAAAAAATGATAAAATTTGTCATTTAACTCCTATAATAAGTTGTCCGACAGTTTTGACAGAAATAAACAACAGGTTACGGCTCATCATTCTAAATATTTCTGCTCATGTCAGATTTTTTTATGCCCCCGTCGTAGCGGAGGGGGCATTAAGTTTTACCCTTGTCTGTCTGTACTTCCGTCCGTCTGTATGTCCCAAAATTGCTTATTACCACAAAACACAGATCAAGTTTGAATTTGGGTAGCGTCACTCTTACCATTCTACAGTTATGCCCCTTTACAAATGGAAAAATTGCTGAATTTTTCATTTCCGTTCTCGGTCTTAAGTTTGCCTGAACCAAATGTTATGAAACTTATACACAATGCTTATTACCACAAAACACAGAACAAGTTTGAATTTTGGTGGCATCACTTATACTGTTTTAGAGTTATGCCCCTTAACAAATGAAAAAATTGATGATTTTTTCATTTCCGTTCTCTAAGTTTAGTTTGCCTCAACTAAACGTCATGAATCTTATATAATGCTTATTTATATAATGCTTATTACCACAAAACACAGATCAAGTTTGAATTTTGGTGGCGTCACTTATACTGTTTTAGAGTTATGCTCCTTACAATAACAAATGAAAAAAATGCTGAATTTTTCATTTCAGTTCTCTAACTTGAGTTTGCCTCAACCAAATGTTATGAAACTTATACACAATGCTTATTACCACAAAACACAGATCAAGTTTGAAATTTGGTGTTGTCACTTTTACCATTCTAGAGTTATGCCCCTTTACAAATGTAAAAATTGCTGATTTTTTATACGACCGCAAAAATTAAAAATTTTTTGGTCGTATATTGGTATGACGTTGGCGTCGTCGTCGTCGTCTGGCGTCGTCCGGCGTCGTCCGAAGACACATTGGTTTTCGCACTCTAACTTTAGTTTAAGTGAATGGATCTCCATGAAATTTTACCATAAGGTTCAATACCACAAAAGGAAGGTGGGGATTGATTTTGGGGGTTATGGTACCAACAGTTAAGGAATTAGGGGCCAAAAAGGGGCCAAAAATAAGCATTTTTGTAACTTCCAGAAAATAACTTGTGTGTAAGTGTATGGATCTCTCTGACATTGTACCACAAGGTTCCATATCACAAAGGGAAGGCTGTAATTGATTTTGGGGGTAATTGCCTCCAAATTTTAGGAATAAGGGGCCAAAAAAGGGGCAAAAAACAAGCATTTTTCTAGTTTCATGACAATAACTCGTGTGTTAGTGTTTGGATATTTCTGAAATTGTACTACAAGGTTCCATATCACAAAGGGAAAGCTGGAATTGAGTTTGGGGGTAATTGCCCGAAACGTTTAGGAATTGGGGGCCAAAAAGGGGCCAAAAATAAGCATTTTTCTAGTTTCCAGACAATAACTTGTGTTCAAGTGTATGGATCTCTCTGAAATTGTACTGCAAGGTACCATACCACAAAGGGAAGGCTGGGATTGAGTTTGGGGGTGATGAATCATAAGGGGGTTCAAAAAATTTGGGGGGGGGATTTTTTTCCTTATTTTTTTCTTTTAAAATTTTCCATTTTAAGTTGGTTATTTCTGATTTATATTTAAAAGCAAATAATAATGATATGGTAGGAGATACACACCAAACAGGATGTGTAAATTATTATATAATAAGTATTGTGCAATAGCAAGAAATTTTCAATAGCACAGTATTGCACAATAGCAAGAAATGTTCAATTGCACAGTATTGCGCAATAGCAAGAAATATCCAATAGCACAATATTGCGCAATAGCAAGAAATTGTCAATTGTACAGTATTGCGCAATAGCAAGAAATATTCAATTGCACAGTATTGTGCAAAAGAAGATACTTCGTATAAATTGCTTATTTCTTGATCAATTTCAATGGGGTTTTATTCTTGAATTCTTGGGGTTCTTTAATATGCTGAATCTAACTGTGTATTAAGTTTTTGGATTTTGGGACCCGTTTTTTAATTGGTCCACATTGAGGTCCAAAGGGTCCAAAATTTAACTTTGTTTGATTTCATCAAAAATTGAATTATTGGGGTTGTTTGATATGCCGAATCTAACCGTGTATTTAGATTCTTAATTTTTGGTTCCGTTTTCAAATTGGTCTACATTAAGGTCCAAAGGGTCCAAAATTAAACTTAGTTTGATTTTAACAAAAATTGAATTTTTAGGGTTCTTTGATATGCTGAATCTAAACATGTATTTAGATTTTTGATTATGGGCCCAGTTTTCAAGTTGGTCCAAATCGGGGTCCAAAATTAAACTTTGTTTGATTTCATCAAAAATTGAATATATGGGGTTCTTTGATATGCTGAATCTAACCATGTATTTAGGTTTTTGATTTTTGGGCCCCGTTTTCAACTTTGTCCACATTGAGGTCAAAAGGGTCCAAAATTAAACTTTGTTTGATTTCATCAAAAATTGAATTCTTGGGGTTCTTTGATATGCTGAATCTAACCATGTATTTAGATTTTGGATATTGGACCATAATAGGTGAATGTCCAATTTAAAATTTTTAAGTTCTTAGACCACATTCATTCTGTGTCAGAAAGCTATGCTGTGTCAAATATTTAATCACAATCCAAATTCAGAGCTGTATCAAGCTTGAATGTTGTGTCCATACTTGCCCCAACTGTTCAGGGTTCGACCTCTGCGGTCGTATCAAGCTGCGCCCTGCGGAGCATTTTATTTGTTTCTGTTCTCTGACTTAAGTTTGCTTCAACCAAATGTTATGAAACTTATACACAATGCTTATTACCACAAAACAAAGATCAAGTTTGATTTTTGGTGGATTCAATTTCGCCATTCTAGATTTATTCCCCTTTACAAATGGAAAAATTGCTGAATTTTTCGTTTCTGTTTTCTAACTTTAGTTTGCCTCAACTAAACGTTATGAATCTTATATAATGCTTATTACCACAAAACACAGATCAAGTTTGAATTTTGGTGGCGTCACTTTTACCATTCTAGAGTTATTAGATACAAGAAGATGTGGTATGAGTGCCAATAAGACAACTCTCCATCCAAGTCACAATTTATAAAAAAGTAAACCATTATAGGTCAAAGTATGGTCTTCAACACGGAGCCTTGGATCACACCGTACAGCAAGCTATAAAGGGCCCCAAAAATTACTAGTGTAAAACCATTCAAATGGGAAAACCAACGGTTTCATCTATATAAGAAACAAGAAACACTTATCAATCACATCAACAACGACAACTACTGAACATCTTATGCCCTTTACAAATGGAAATATTGCTGAATTTTTTTGTTTCTGTTCTCTGACTTAAGTTTGCATCAACCAAATGTTGTGAAACTTATACACAATGCTTATTACCACATAACCCAGATCAAGTACCAATTTGGGTAGCGTCACTCTTACTGTTCTAGAG